AAAGTTAAGTAACTTAATTACTTACTACGTAAGTAAACTTACCTTACCTACTAGGTAGGACATACTAGGTAAGTAAGTACTAAGAATAGTATAGTAATTAATTAACTATACACACTACTAATATATATATATATATATATATATATATATATACACATATATATACAGCCGTATCCTGACAGCTCCTCTGGTTATTTACAGTAATTTTATTTCCTGAATGTTCAGAACTCAAAGCTTTATCCAGTTTCTTGAGTAGGAGGAGAATGTATTCCCAAACAGTAATTTTTAGTGCTTTCAAATATAAGTTATATTATGATTTTTGTTTAAATATTATCTCAAATAGACATGTTTTGATACAATGTTTGACTGTAATAAGCTCAGTTAGGCAAGACTCATGGAAACCTTATGTTGCTGTGCAGCATACATATGCAGAGTACATTCTCAAAGGAGTCTTGAGAAGTTTGGAATTTTTTAGACTTTTGATAAAATTGCAATGTTTTTTACAGCAATCATTTTTGTGTATTAAAAAAAAGAGCTTGAAAATGATGCTAGTGACAATATACATTAAACTTATTTTTTTCACAGATAACATATAAATGATAGCAGTTTAAACTAATTCACAGTACTAAAAGTCGACCAACCTAACTTTGTAAGGTAATAAAACATCTACACTCTTAATGCACCTTTTTCGATAAAGCTTTCAGGCTATCAAGAAATCTGGTCCAAAAATCCCGGAAAAGGGGACGATCAATTTTTTTTAAGCTTTCTTTACTGCTGGCATCTACTGATACATATAACTGGGTTACAGGGTCCAGGCTTGTGATGGCATCTGGAAATTGGGCATTTGTCACAAGAAAAGAAGATATTCCTCGTTCATGGAGAAGCCGAATGAACTTGTTGATTTCTGGATACATTATAGGTTCTCCAACCAAAGACAAAGCACAGTGCTTTGGCTCCATTCCTTCAGCTAGTCTTTCTGGCTTGACTCCAGGAACTCCTACACAATGTGTCATACACAGAAATTTTATTCTTCAGTATTTAATCAAAACCAAAGAAAAAAGAAACAATATCTTAGTTTATAATTTTAAAACTGTATTATGTACATAATTTTGGTTGCAAGTTTATGATAATTTGTTAATTTTAAATTACATTAAGTTTTTGTTGTTTTCATCATTATGAGATGCATAAAAATGACAGCATGGAGGAGTGATAACTTGATTTAGCTATTCAACAAACTAGAGAATGGGATGCATAAATATTATGGTAACCCTATTCTTGCAAGATTTGGAAGTGAAAAATCTCAAGCTCAGATGTGAAGAGCTTTATTTTGACAATGTTAAACAAAATCATAATTATTTGCAAATGCAATTCTTATATTTCTCTATACATTTATAATTTTTCATAGATTTAGAGCAAAGCAGGTGTTCCTTTTATACATAATTGATTCTGTCTGAAGTTAGTAAGTATCAATTTAATTTGTCATATGAACAAAGTTAATATCATAGGTTTATTAATTATAACAAAAATAAAACACCTTTCATTAGCCAAAACAAATTCATAAAATAAACTCTCTAAGTTGAAAAAATTAAGTACAAAATACACATCACCAGGGATTAAACCTTCATGAGAACATTCTTTTTAACCCTAAACATTACAATAATTTAAATACATCACAAAAACAATCTGCATTTAATATGGAATTGGAAAATATATTTTTGGCCACAATAGTAAATTCTTCAAATGTAGGATCATTATTATTAATAATTTTATTAAGTCAGGATACACCTATAGCACAATTACTATGACATATAAATGATACAGACACAAAGCAGTTTTCAAAGTTTGCAATGTCTGCGCATTAGGACCAGCAGAAAAATACTAGCTGCATTGGCTTAAGTCTGCACTATACATGAACATATAAATACCAGACAGATAGGAGAGAGTTATATTTACATTAAAGGTGTGGCAATACACATCAACAGTATCGCATCACCTATAACAGTGCAACTGGCTTCCTCTGCTATTCCCACTCAACCCTCACTTTTAAGAATTGGCAGGTACTACAATAAAAACACCAGTTTTAGCAGAGAGGAAAGGTGGGAAGTGTGTGAGAGAAAGTAAGTTCCTATAAGAAATACATTTTCAGTGTAAGAAAATTTTAACTTCTGAAACAGACTTACCTCCCTCACACAAAAGGCTAGAATCCCACATTGCAAAGGTGGAGGGCTAGTGTAGGAGCATACAGAACAAACCAAGCAGAAAGCGACTGCCCAGAATGAATGGGTGTGCTCAGAGATGAAAATAAAGCACACCTGTGGAGTACTGCACTACTTCTGGAACAGGTATGCTCTATATCCAGGAATTAAGAAAGTAACATAAAATGGGCAGAAAAGGTAATGCTTGCACGTGTGTAAGAGCATTAAGAAGATGCAAGTTGTATCAAAATAAAGCAAGATAAAAAAAATGTAATAACAGGTGGCTAGAGCACTTGGACCGTGTTATTGATACCCAACAAAACCAACAGTAAGTAAACAGAGTGCCATACATTAGGCAACCAAAATTATGAAGAGGAAGTGAACAAATGGTTGTAACCAGACAAATTCCCAAAACCACCTTGGGAGCAAGAAGTACGACAAACCAAACCCAGCATTATGGGGTCTTGGCATTACCTCAACTCAGTAAAAACAAGGAAAGTTGTAACTGGTATTACGGGCAAAATTATATCTCCCTCAACTGTAAATGAAGGGTAGAGACATCCTGTATCCGTAATTACGAGGAGGACATGCAATATTTGCCCAACCATAGGAACATAACACAGATGCCCATTGCTGGTGTTACAAGGCAGACAAAGTCTCTCAAACCCAACTGTAGAAGCAGGAAAGAACCTTCTGCAAGTGGAATTAACGAGAAGAGAGGAATCTACTGCACACAACTGTAGGAACAGGGTGTTGTCATCCTGAACCCAGAATAATGAGGAGAATCCCACATAGGCTGGCCCCAAATAATATTTGATCATTGGTTTTACTGAGTGTGATCTGCCAAGATAGAAAACATCCGGACAATGCACCAGTAGGGAACCAGTTTCAACCTCTTCTCCTGACTTGATAAACAAGCATGACTATAGTAACACTCAGGAAGAAGCCTCCATGGCGAACCACCCCAGCAGCTGGGAACTGAGAGTGGTAAGGAGACTCCCTCACTCCACTTAAAGAAAAAGAATGGGGGAGATCCGGAGAAGCATCACACAGGAGACAGTGCAATGGATGACTGTGTTTCCCTATTTGGAAAAGCAGACTGAACCCAATTAAGGAAACATGCTTTACTCATGAAGTCCATGAGTCACGGTCCACTAAAGATATAATTATAATACACAGAGATACACATACACCACCAGGAAAGCACCAGGTGGTCTTACAGAAACACCCCATCTCAACTGTTAGCATTATATAGTTACTGCATTTAATGCGGATTTGAGACACAGCATACCTAACAAGGCCACACCCACCACTAGGTGGGATCTGTAAAGAAGCTTAGGGAGGTTGAAAAGAAAACATAAAAGAAAGGAAATAAGTAGACTTACCCCAGTGAATGACAAATGGACGTGTAGAAGCAAACGTGTGTGATTCACTGATTGCAAACAAGATAAGGTGAGCAGGAACCAGTCATCCATATAATAATGAGTTTGAAGACCCAGCAAGTGAAGATGATGAACAAGCGAGAGAACTACTCGACAAAACAAATAAGGAGCTGATGAGAGACCAAACAGCAGTGCCCTGAACTGGAACACTTGACCCTCATGAATGAACAGAAAAAAACAACACAACTCTGGAGCAATGGGAATGTGAGGACAGGCATCCATCACATCAAAATTGGTCATCCAGAGTGACTGGGAAAACATCCACCGAAGTGAAAGATAGGACTCAATGATGAAATGAGGGGGCTCCAGAAAGGAAATCAGCCAGGACAGATCTATAATTTGTCTCCAATTGCCTGTTTTTTCAAGGACCACAAAGAGACGGGAATAAAAACCCAAATGAGTGGGAACCACTCAATTGATAGCTCCTTTGCATAGGAGGTCTTGAACGGCCTCAGCAAGATGACTGAGAGACGAAGAATCCTCAGGAAGAGGAAAGGATATTGGGGAAAGGGGGGTGGGGACCAGAAACAAAGACAGAAACCTACCAACAGAACCTGTAGAACCCATGAATTTGTTGTGCCACCACATGGTTGAGAAGTGGAGTAAACTGGTCCCCACAAGACAGGGAACCTCTGCTGTATCACCAATAATCCTAGCATCTGTCCAAATGTGCACAGGTAAAATTAGGATAGGGACAAGAATGCCTTGAGGAAAATAAAGGACAGGGTAAGGAAGGAGGAGAGCAGGAAACCAGGATAGGCAAATCCTGGGAGGTAATGGAAGAATGAGACAAACATGTGGCTAGAGAGAATAAGGAGGAATGTAACTTGGTTACATCAATCCATGATTATAGGGAATCTGGACGACCCTCAAAGACAGAATCACGTAGAAAAGGAGCCTGTCGGATATCTTGTAGGGAGAAAAGGGGGAGACAAACCTCTTCCAGTAAAGCATCCCTCCCCAACAAGTCTCAACAGCAAAGTAGCCAGGTATTGAAAGAAAGGGCAGAGGCCAATAAATAAATTACGGTGGCCTAATCGAGGGTTCTGAACTCTTCTGAAAAGACACAAAAGATTGACAAAAGGCCTTTGACATTAAGAGGGAGGAAAGTCAGCATAAAAGTGAAGTCAAAGAAAAGTGAATCCTGGAATATTGTGACTGACTGAAGCAGACAGAAGCCTAGGTTTCGAGCCCCACAGGGAAAGAAGAGGATCTAAATCCTGAGAATCCAAAAAGGGATCCGAGATGCGATGATGAGCCAAGGCATATTAATCCAACAAATGAGGGGGACAGGGCATGCCTATATCCAACAGTAATTAATCAGAGAATTAACACTAATGTCTGGAGAAGGAGGTAAAACATAATAACCGGAAGATAACTTTCACCCAATAAGGCAGGGGAGGAATCATGGGCTATAGGGAAAACACCTAAAACATGACATACCTGATTGACAAGTTGTAAGAAAGGAGTTTGAGGTGAAACATCCTAAATGGGTGTAGACTGTGACAAACCAAAAAAGGTGCCCGAAAAAAAAAAGAGAGTCCAAATTGTCTTCCTTGTGATAGAAGGCCTCCTCAGAAACATGGTCAGGTGGACGAGGAGAAGAAATTGCCAGCCGATTGTAAGACTTTAACTCCTTGCAAACCAAGGCTTGAACCTCTTCAGCAGATAAAGTCCTGGAAAGTCATGCCATGTGCATTCTCGTCTATGGTGGGAATATCATTATCCGCCACGTTAAATCTCGAATTCATGTTAAAAACGGATTATTTAGTTGAATGCAAAAGTGTAGAAACAAGAGAAAACAAATGCGAAATTCAAAAATTGTGAAGTTAATCTTTGACTGAAAAGGTAACAAAGCACAATCAAAAACTGTAACCATGCTCAGAAATATTAAACATACGTCTAAGCTGTGTCATGTCAATTGAGAAAGTGTGGGTTGAGCAGGAAAAGCAGAGGGCGCTAGTTGTGCCATTATAAGTGCCACAATACTATTGGTGGAGAGTAGTCAGATGAAAATGTACATGTTCAAAAATGGTGCATAACAGGTGAGGTAAAGAGACTGGTGTACTGATTACTAAAATTCTTTTAGCAATGCTTAGAGGGCAGTCAACAATCAAGGTAACCTTTTGTAAAAGGAGGTAAGTCCATTTCGGAATTAGAACATATATGTCCAGTTTGTGTTTTCATCTAACATATCAGATTAGTTTCAAGCAAATGATCCCAAACTAAGTTTTTATAGTACTATCATTTGTTCAAAAGCTTAAAATTCAAAAACCAACACAAACAGTCTGCAGTGATCTTTCAAGAGCATGGAGTTAGTCCAGAAATGTTTAAGTTAGAATTTATTCGAATAAACAATCTTCATCAGGTATTACATGCACTTCCTAACTTTTTGCTTGCTCCATGCTTAAATATTCTTTACAGTAATAAAAAATTAATTACAGCTAATAAATTATTTAGGCAACAAATTTCTATTAGTGGTTGACATGTTATTACATTCTTCTTTACCTTCATTGATAACTTATTTTTATTATCTTAATATGAGTTAAAATATTAAACTATAAAAGAAGTATAAGATTTGTAAACAATGAAATAAAGATCACAATATTAATTCACAAACAATCATTATATATTTGAAATCTATGACAAAGGCCTTTAAGCAGATTTAACAATTAAGTCATTACAAATTTCAAATAAATTTACTGTTCTTCTCCAAACGTTTTATTATCAGATTACCATAAATATTCATGTTGTCTGACAAGTTCTTGTAGTTTTTAGTTTAAACCTTTATCTACTGTATTCTGTAATACATTACCTTATATTTAGTTTGAGAAGTTACAAAAGTAAATGTTTTTAATCAAATTAAAGCACACCTTTAAATTCCTTAATCATCTGATAGTGGTTTTTTAAGACACCTTCCAGAAGAATTTCAGGGTCATCCATCTTCCATTTCCATTCAGTTCCTACAGGATTGGAATGATGCCTATAAATCAAGCACAATGAGGAAAACAATTAAAATTCAACTATTAAAAACTTAAAGAAAATTGTCAACAATTACTATGCTTTAAAAACCATTAATGCAAACTTTATAATATTCTAACAGTTACTTGACCATTTGTGTAGTGTCAAGAGAGCAGGGAACACAAGTAATGAAAACAAATTTCTATGTAAACCTAAACAACGTAGTAATTATCATTATAGCTATAAAATAAAATATTTAAAACAAAAAAAATCAGATGGTATTCAATATTTGTTTTATTGTATATATTCAGTTTATAAAACCCAAGGAAGTTTAATTGATTATACTAAAACTTGCAATGAAACCAAGTTAGTGAAATTATGGTTTTATTTTTTATTATTATTTTAAATAGTCATTAATTCCATTTTGATCCCTTATATGTATTTCTTAAACTGTATAACAAATAGCAATTTTTACATTTCTGTACCAAACCAACATTATTTACACTAAAGTTTATTACTACAATTTTCTTAAGAGCTTTATCTAATCTCCATTCCATGGAAGGATACACAAATATAGTTCAGAATTTTATCAAATAAACTTTCAAATAGGAGAACTCCATTACATTAAAAAATAAATATGAAGCCCAACCTATCATTAGTTTTACCATCTGTAACTAAGTTATACCTATTTCAGAGATTTCCATACCTCATAAATACCCTGGGACAAGGGGAAATAAAAACTAAGACTAAGTTCTTAGAGTGGTGAACTGTATGTTAAATGAATGGTGTTTTAGTTGCATTTTACTCAAAACAGTAGTCTACTGTGATGAATAAAAGACAACTAAAAACACTATACATATAAAATACCTTTATGAAAACTTACGTCATTACAAAAATACTATAAAGCCTTAATATATACAATATCTTTAATTTTTACAAATACTATCTATAAAAACCAGTCACAGAATGACTTTACAAAATGTTTTGTAAAACCCACATCAAAGGCAACATAAAACACATTTTTAGTTTTCTAAGCATTACCTCCAACAAAACACACATTTATTAGCACATGCTAAACTGGGTGTTGTTTCCATACATCTGTGGCTCTCAATGCCATAGAATGTATGCTTGTAGCATCCACCTCGACCCCGCAACATGGACTTGGTCCAACGACACAACTTAACACCAGAGTGAGAGCCAACAAGTTTATAGCCTTGCTTGGTTAGAGCCTGCCTCAAAATAGGTGTTATCATTTCTGGCAGAATGCGCTTTCTCTGAGTTTGTACACCATTCACAAGATTTCCATTTGCTTTATGTTTTACCTAAAACAATAAAAAAGTATATTTTGCTTCACTAAGTATATCATTATGCAGTATTTCAATTATCTTCTACACAAAAAATGTGATCGTACTTTTTAAGTTTGAAAATATAGATATGTATTCCTTAAAAAGTTATAAGCTATTAGATTAAAACTAAAGTGTCTTTATATGGTTATCAATGAGAGGGAATACTGAAAATAAGAGTGAAGAAACAGTTAATATGTCATTATTTAATTGGCAACCTTTATTTTATTTCCATGTTAAAAACTGTCCTGTAACTTAAGAACTTGTTAAAGTTTAATTTTATTCACAAGCTTATATACAATTTTCAGAGGGCAACATGCAAAAGTACCATATTCTTTCATTACACAAGATTTGGTATGATATTTTGTGTCACATAATAAAGCACTATTGTTATCTCCCTGATTTTCAAAAGTTTAAGACCTTCACATAAAGATCCACAATTAACTATCAACAATACCAAACCTTTATAAAATTCTAATCAAACGATATTTAACTCTAAAGTGTCAATCAGAAATACAAACACAGAAAAAAACAAGTGCTGAAAAAATACAAATTTTTTACAATAAAAACTGTACATTATAAATAAATAATGAACTTTGCAATATAAAAGATACCTATAATATATTTAAAAGCCATAAATACTATCAACTACTTTTGCCCTCAAAATTAATAACTGTTCCTCCTCAACCATTAAATGGGTAGTTTAAGGCATTTTGGCAATTCCAAACTTTCTAATAAACATGTTTAATGGTTTTTTTAATCAAAAAGATAGTTACATATATGTTTTTGTTTTTCAGAAACCAACTTAATCACTCACTCATTCCCGTTTTATATGCTCTTGAGCATCCAGTTTGTCAGAGGTTTTTTTTTCATGTTTGTTTGTTTTGATTATCATTCATCAAGGAAAAAGTCATCCTATTCAATCTCTTAAAAATAACAAGCATATACAAATAACATGCCAAATCTTAATGTAAGTTAAAACACATTGATTATTTGTGAAATAATTATATAATTATTATATAAATATCAGTTGTTTATAAATATGCTGCTGATATTACCCTCAAAAATAAGCTTATCTTTTGAATTATGATAAAACTTTCTTTAAGTGTCCTCTAAGTTTCAGTATGTCCTGCAGTTGATGACAGGTGTGATATTACATCTCAATAAGACAGTTGGTAATTCTAACAAGATTTTTCTTTACTGGCTTATATCATAATAATAATTTTTATTATGGACAAAGTTTTTTACTGATTAAATACAAGCCTACATTCTTATGACCATAAGACCGTTTTAAAATATCAGTAGTTTTTGCATGCTTTCAGAGTAAAATATTTTTAAATATAGTTTTTTATCTTGAGATTACTATCTTACTATCCCCTTATTCACCTTCTTTAACACTGTTCCTAGGTCTTCCATATCAACTAGGGATCCACTTTCTGATCCTCCAGTGCTTCCCTCTCCATCTTCACTGCTACTTTCATATTCTAGGACCTTAAACACAAAGGCTTAGAATTAAAATTTCCCAGTCTTTCGGGCTAGAGACTAAACTGTACGATCTTAAGCATCTAATACGATAAAAGCATTACTTGAAGAGAAAAAATATCCTTTGGTTTCATTAACAAGTTAACACTAAATATATGTAATATCTTAACGTATGCACCTTACATCATAAGAAGAGAATAAAAAATACCCTTTCTTATAATATATCCTTTAACTAGTCACATGAGGCTGCAAACACAACACAGTTTACACTTTTCAATTGGCTTATTAACAAATCAAGCAACTTATAGCCTTCTATGAACATGTACTTATTTAAACTTTCAAAGCATTTTCAGTTTTTCTTCATCCATTTTAAATGGAAAATAATAGCAAGAGTATAATCTGCTTTTCCAAATATTTCTTTTTCCTACAAGTTTATAAAAAATAATTTAAACCAGCAATATCAAATGCTTGGAAAATTCTTATAGTTTGTTTACAAATAGATATCTTCACGGTGTTTCAGTTTTAACCTATTATAATTTGTATTACAGCAATGCAGTTTTCACCCTTAATGTCTGAAATCTAGGTTGGTTTATGTCACATGCCACATGTGACTACTTTTCCCACGGTTTACTGTAGTTATAATTTTCCTACACTGAAAATATATTTCCAACAGGTACTTACTTCCACTCACATACGTAACTGTTCTTGTTCAATGCTGCCTTCTATTTGCAAAAAATTTTCACATGCCACACGCCTTTCACTCCCATGTACCCCTCAATTCACATGGTTTAACTGATTGTAGCATGCAAATTATCATGCAACAACCTCCACCAATTGTAGTACCACACATCCACATGACCCCAATTATGCTGTTTTACCTAACTATCACTTCGAGTTTAGGCAGAAATGTAATTACCGGTTCACAGTGGGGAGAAAAGGTGGAAAATGTGAGCAAAAGTAAGTACCTGTCAAAAATACATTTTCAGTACAAGAAAATTATAATTTCTGACCAGGTACCTTACTTCAGCTCACATACATAGCTAGAATCCCACACTGAATATGTGGAGGGACTGGTTTGAGGGAGGAAGAAGAAGCATCCTTCAAAAGCATCCGAAAGATGCCCTAACGAGGGAACCCTCTAATAAGAGGATTATACATGGGAGACCACACCACTTTTGTACCACGTATACTCTTCACCCAGATGTGGAAAAGTGTGTGACAGATCTGGGCAGAAAACTGTGAGAAGCATACTCCAATGGGAGAGAAAATGGTTGGACAGTGATCCTAACTACAATATACTATAATTTCAATCTCCCTGATGAACAGAATGTGGGTACAAAAAAGATGTGCCCCATAGAGTAGAGTGGCTATGGCATAACAGACTGTACATGGCAAGTGAACTGCTTTCAGGAACCAACATCCATGTGAGGTAAGAAAAAGAATCATACTTCCTTCTCCTCAAGTTCAACTGACCAGAGAGAGAGAAATCCCACCAAAGATCTGTGAACAGGGCACATGTGAGCAGCATGAAATAACAAACATATATATCCCACTCATATCAAACCAGAACCATCTCAAACGTGGTAACATCCTTAGCATAAAAACACTGAGGGGTAGTGCAAGATGAAGAAGTGGAGCAACCAACAACACTGGGGTAGTGCACTTGAGGCAAATTGAGTGAGGGACCAGGAACTCCCTGAACACACGTGTCAGGACTTACGTTAATTGATTCAGCTCTAAATCCGCAACTCAGGAACTGGAAACCAGCATCCATATGGGGGTAGGATAAGGGATCCCAATCGCATGATGTGTGAGGACATATGGTGATTGGTTCAGCTCTAACTCCAAAATTCAACCAACCAGAACCAACACCCAACATCCATGCATGGGTAGGATGAGAGATCCTAATCACACTACATATGTGAGGACATGATGTTGATTGGTTCAGCTCTAGATCTATAACTCAACCACTGGGAACTGACATCCATGCAGGGGTAGGATAAGGGATCCCAATTGGCATAACATGAAATTGGACAATATGTTGATTGGTTCAGCTATAAAACCAAAACTCAACAGCTGGAAACTAACTTCCATGTGGGGGTAGTGTGAGGGATCCCAATCATTATGATGGCACACTTTAAAGCTAAAAAATCCCCTTGGACAAGCCCATGCAAAGATGGAGCATCCATTTGGAGGGCATCTCGTCCTCTACACTAGCAGAACGCCACCACCCTACTCAACTAAATGGTCCACCACCCCAGTGGAAAGTGGTAAGGACTCTCTTACTTCACTGGAAGAAATGGGGGGATACAGCAAAGAGTCTGGAGGAACACTTGCACCAGAGACAGTGCAATGAGTGACCATGAAATCCTATTTTGAAAAGCAGACCAAACTCGATTTATTCAATCTGAGGAATGGCAGGGATGATGGGCAGCAATCCCTTCTGCTATACCTATGAAGTCCATGGGTTAGTACTGTCAGGAACAAGCATATTTATGAAGCAAAGATATCACAAGAAATAACTTATGAGCAATCTTGTGGAACATTCCATCTCTAGTTTATACGATTGCAATGAACAGTGTTTGTTTTGTGGCCATGTAAGTTATGAAAGTGAAGTCAACATGGCCTTACAATGTGGGTTTTAGTATAGTTCAAAGTGACTGAAGTATACCTGGACAGGCACCATTCGCTACATAGTAGGATCCAGGTCAAAACAAGGGACAGGTCCTTGAAAAACAATATATATATATAATAAATGAAAGAAAACTTACCCAGTTACAATCTCACCAAAGAGTGAAGGATGGCAACATGTGGAAGACAGTACCCCAACAAGGAAGAAACAGCTACCCAAAACAGATAATGAGAGATGAATGCATGAGGTGTAGTCCCAGTGCTCAATACATGAAGTACCTCAAATGGACCCAAAACAGATAATGAGAGATGAACGCATGAGGTGTAGTCCCAGTGCTCAACACATGAAGTACCTCAAATGGATGAAGGGGTTAAGATGCAGGTAAAGGAAGGTGCCTGAACAGAGTGAAGACACCAGGAATTGATTATAGAAAGAAAGAAACAACGAATAAAAAGCCAATCACAAGCCAAACCCAATGGGTAAGAGAGGAAGGGGAAAAAATCAGAAAGAGAGGTGCAGTGCAAGGGAAAGAAACTACAGGAAATGGAGTCAACAGAAAGAAGCCTTGAAAACAATGAAGTAACCCAGAGCATGTACAGGACATAGAAGGTCATTTGGATCTGACCGAGAATCAAGGTGGAAGATATCATGAAACAAAAATGATGAAAATAATATTCCCCCATGAGCCCCCCCAAAGTGTAGGTTAGTAAAATAGATCCAGAACACATCAAGCTGAAACAGCTGAGAAAACCAGATCTGTGCTGTTCAGAAAGGATCAACTAAAAAGACATAACCTGGAGTGACATGGATGATCAAAACTACTTTGGGAAGAAGAGCAAGAAAAACTAAAGTTTTAACTGGATCTAATCCTGTCTGAAAGTATTGACAGCCAGGGCAAGCGGATGATGAACCAGAGACCTAAAACAAAAGAGGTAACTTGGAATCAAGAAAGGAGTCAAACACTTCCTGTAGAGGAGTACCCCACAGGAGGCAGAGCCACCAAAAATTTGACGATCAAGAGACCACTCCTTAAGAGATAGTGTGTCAGGACTGGAAGGGCAATCTGCAATGAGGCCGAAAGCACCTGGAACAGTACATGTATGACAAAGGTGTGGGTTCTAAAAAGGGAGATTCACTGTCTACCACAAATGGAATAACAATGAGTGCCCCCTTTAGTAAGTGATATAAGCCACCACCATCGACTAGTTGGAATGAAACACAATTAGTCAAATCCGGATAAGAGGAAGAAAGTGAACTAAAGCACGTTGGACTGCCAGAAGTGCCAGGATGTTAACATGGTAAGAACTTTCGTTCATAGATCACTGTCCTGAAGCATCCTGATGAGTATAAGGGAAGAGAAACAAATACGGATGATGGGGAGATATCTTCAACCACCAACAAATAATGTGGAAGAGGGAAGGAGGAAAGTTAAGAGGAGAATCCAAAGGAACCCTAGCAAGAGACCATGGGGTTGTGCAGCATCCCCTTAAAAGATCACAATTATGCCAGACCCAAAGGAAGAAGTGCCACATCCCCCAATGTATTAGAACCTTGCTAACTGTAAGATAGTAAATTATAGTGGTGTGGATGACAGAAAGTTCCATCGAATGCATTCAAGAAGGAGAATGGATGGTCCCAACAGAGATGGGTGATTAAAAAGACACTCCCCAAACAGCTGAGATTGTTAGGTAGGTAATAGGAAAAGCTTATCCAACTGGAAAATCCAACCACCCAAGCTGCTTGTTTAAGAAGCAGATGAGTATGTTATGACCACCCCTATTTGGAAGGAGCTAACCATGTAGTAGTGTTAGTAAAATACACAAAATGCAAAAGACAAGTAAAATGCATACCACCTGACAAAAGATGTACAAAACTAAAAGAAGTCCAAAAGGCAAGGCACAGAACTGGTATTGAATAGTATGGGGAAAAAAACCTAAGATAGCATCCCAAGAAATGAAAAATAAGAACATGTAATGTGAACATTCTCAGTCCTGCAGAAATTGCCCACCCTATTGTGATCAAGGACTACATATTAAAATGGGGAAAAACCGAAAAAAAATTGAGGCAGAATCAGTCAATCCAGAACTCCAATCAGCATCGAGCATACGCAACAAATGGAGAAATCCATAAATAAGATAGTGTTACGTCTCTGGTCGTTAGTTGATTTTTCGTAAAATTCTTTCCAATGAAACTTTAGCGATACAAGTCCTTTCTTAAATAAAACTGGTATATTCTTTCTAAATACAACTTTGAAATTTACTTAATTTCCACGGACTCACTATAGCTTAAACAAATGCTATAATTCACCACGAACAACTCACGTGCTCGACTCAATTATCAGTCTCTCTCTGTCTGCAGTTCAATTACCTTCCATTACATTGTTGCCGTCAGTTCTTACCGGTCTTATATATACAAGAATACCGCATATCTAGTAACCTCTCGAGACTTCATGAAGGGACGTGAACGTTCGAGAATATGATGTGTTACTAGTGTCACGTGACCCCCGCTGTCGTAACAATAGTAAGGATGGGAAGGTGCCAAATATGGAACATGAATAAAAATGGCAATGATTCAGAATGCAACAAAAGAGCAACCACAAATAATAGAACATAACATCGCAAATACCCCACATGATGTTAAATGGACAGTAGTAGCAAAAAAAAAAAGGACCGGTAGAGAAAAAGAGCTGATCATACTTTCCTATCAGAAGTGGATGGTAAACAAATGGTACAAGACAGTGTACCACAACAGATAACCCAAAAATCAAAGAAGCAACATGTGAAGGGAAAGTGCTGAAAATGGCAAATGCCCCAAAATGAAGGGAAGGAGGAAGAGGTATCCCACAAAAAATCCCCTAGATACAGGTAGAATGCCTAAGAAAGGAGGTGTAAGGTAGATGTTTCCTGTAGGAGAGTCAATAGGGTAAGAAGAAGCTGGAAAAGTAGGTGGGGGATAAAATGGATAGAATTGACAGAGACTGACCCACACACAGACAACAGAGATTCTAAGTACATAGAATCAAGAAAAAAATCTGCTTGATGGTAAGCTAAGGCAAACTGAACAAAAGCTTGTGGAGGGCAAGGCATGCAAGTACCCTCTCGAAAAAGAGAGACAAAAATGCTCATCATGAAACATAATGTCTGGAGAAGAAGAGGAAAATTATATTGTGAAATGATTCTAAACAAAGGTTGAGGTAGGTGGAGGAAAATTTACAAAATCTAGGTAGTCTTAAACATGTTCGGCAGTTGTAGAAGGAAGGCAAGCAGTATCGTGAGAAGGTAGTGCGGACCCCAGCCCCCAAGGGTCCTCATAAACTAAATTAATTGTAAGTATGAATTATGAAGAATTATGAAAATGAAATAGTCAATATAATATGAATTTAAGTAAGTGTGTGGTGAAATAAACATATGTATGTGTTGAAAAAAACAAGATATTTAACCTAATTATTGATTTATCCATAAGATGAACTAGAGGTAAACCAAAATTAGATGCTTGTTAAGCCTAATCAAACCGTGCAGGACAAAGTATATCACTAAACCCTAATTTAAAAATTCTAACCTAACAATAATACGTACAATATCGGGAGAAGATGTTTGTGTGGACCCCAAATCCAAGAGTCCACACAAACAAAGTTAATATGAAGAAGTATAAAACATAAATAATAACAAAAATGAAATAAACGTTATATTATAAAATTAAGTAACTGTGTATTGACAATAACATATGTATGAGATGTGATGTTTTGAATAAGAAACAATATAGTTAACCTAACTTATGATATACCAGTAAAATGAAATACAGGTAATCCTAAAATAACAAAGACCCATGTTAAGCCTAATCTAACATTATAGGACAAAGGATACAATTAAGCTCTGATTTCAAACCTAAACTTGACTATGAGTATTAACTAATCAAACTAAACTTATGTTATTGAACCAAATATATACAGATAATAATATTAACAGTAAAAATATTTAAAAACCATAAAAGTATAATGCCTAATCTTTCCAAAGTTGTCAGACTGCATTTCAAAATGTGTAGTCCCTCAAACTCGAGTTGAGGCCCAACAAAGGTCAGCTCATTGGATGTTCAATCTCCCAATGAAGAAAAGCCAATAATTCCCCAGTCGAGGACTGCCACCTGAAGCCTGTGTAAATGTGCTGATAAAAGATATAACCTCTGAAGTGGTAACTTATAATTCGGAATTCATCATTTAAAATTAATAACCAAACCTGATTGGCAGAAAGAAATAAAAAGTAGAAAGAAATATGTAATGAAGTATAAGTTCTGTAACTGGGTAAATATAAAATAATTCCACCTCGGAATAAGTTACAAATATAACTATTGTATAATAAATAGTAAACTTGAAGAGAGCACATACTAAACATCAGAACAAGAGCACTGCCAAATGAGAAGTGGTAGTTAGGTAGAATAACATAGAGGAAGTCACACAAGTCATGTGGGTGTGTGGCACTACTATTGGTGGAGGTTTGTTGCATGCAAGAATTATTTAAACAATGTGATTCAAGGGGTGTGGGAGTAAAAGGCTTGTGGCATGCAAAAAACTTTTTGCAAATGGAGGGCAGCGCTGTATGCAGGTGGAAGTAAGATACCTTGTCAGAAACTACTTTCATGTAATTAAATAATGCAAATAATGCACCACCCAATCTTCTTGGTTTAAAGAATTGGCTCAGATTGATGCATTACTTAGTGTATTCATGTTCTAATGATGTAATAAATTTCTTTCAAATTAATACAAAACATGTTAACTGCAGTAAAGCATAAAGCACATTAGTTTTTAAAGAAAATGTATTTGAAGGTATGTAGAAATAAATTGATAATGAAAACATAACAGTTTTTGAATTTCATTAGTAGTCTTAAGCTTCAGCAGACATTATTTTGGATTTTTGATAAAGAATCTTGTTGTTAAATAAACTTCGAAATTGCTGTGATCTGCTTCATGTTCAGGCAACAGATAAAATTGTCAAAACGAAAATAAAAAGGTGGTTGATCATCCAAAAGACAATAATGGAAACAATATACCCTCTTCACTATGACATTCTAAAACAGTCAGTCAATTAATAATAAAGAGTAAAAGGTTGTAGCACACAAAATACACTTGGTTTCTTTACAATTCTATCTACAGTAACTTGTTACATTGTAAATTACAGTTAGCCAACCTTATTATGTTTTACAAACTGCATCAATTTTGTTTGTTTTAGAACAAAGCCACATTGGACTACCTGCTGTGTTCATCGAGGTGAATCAAACCATGAATCTTAGCATTGTAAGTCCATAAACTTACCACTGTCCCATCAGGGGACAATTGTATCAAAATAAATAAAAATTTCACACACACACACACACAAAAATTATACTTTAACAGGTAATTATTTTTCAATATCAATTTTAAAAAAGTCAAATGTTTCTGATCTTAAAAAAAATCACTGTAAAAAATTTCTATATTTGTATTAAAATGAAATATAAATCTGTAATACAACATTTTTTTTTAAAACTAACATTTATTATCTTTTAAAGGAAAAGGTAGTAACCACCTTGTTCATTTTACAAAAATCTCCAACATTTACCTTTACCTGCTACCACACACTGACATTTCATCTGATCCTGTATTGCTTATTACATGTAAAGATTTTACTGTTGAATAATATTCACACACAAATTTATACAATATTAACATCTTCATACTAAACCTCTTCCATCTCTTCTTGACTGTTTTCTTTACAACATGGAGAAGTTTTGCAATGATATTCCTCTATAACTCTGAAGAACCTTTTTTTCCACACAAGAAAGTCTCCTTCAAGTCCTAGATTAACCATTAATATCAGCATTAAATAACTGCAATAATTTATGAAAATCTAAGCAAAGAAAACGTAATTCACAAGCTGACATGTATATATATCTAACAAAGTTTAAAGTAAATATAGTTTTCTGTCAACCACATGCATATTTGGCCAATGTAAAAACAACATTGAATAAGCTCAATAAATGTTTACATATTTTAACTTTTACCTTATTTTTGTAACACTGATATCCAAAGTTATGAATGGTCATAAACTGAAGCACAACAAGAATCACACGAGATCTCAAGTTGAAGATCATAGTAGCAATTTTTTTTCTCCAAAAGGTGAGTATCATGACTTTATACAGGGTATAATTAAATTACAATAAAAGTAAGTTCAGTCAAGATTCTTATACATCCATATAATGCACTATCTATTTATTTCAATTACCAAAAGCACCTTAATACTGTAACAACAGTTACTGCTTTTGATTCTTAAGTACAACTAGAATAAAAATTACATATACAGCACATTAGATGAAATATGCCAAGTGACATTTGCAGTCGTAAGATTTCAAAACACATTTTCTGTGACAAGGAGCAAAGGGGTAATGTCTATTATAACCAAAAAATAAGATGAACAGTAAAACTGGTTTTAGCTTATTAAAAATTCATTACACTATCATGTTGAAAATATTAATACTTTAACGGAGGGTGTAAAATAAAATTGTAAAACTATAATCAAATTGCAGTAAGAAAAACCAAAATAATCAAAAAGTAAGCAATACTTAATTTGTAAATGCACAAAAACATAGTTGCAAACAAATAAAAAACCTACACATACCTATATAGTGATCAGCTGATACATTTTCATCACCTAGCCCTACTTCCATTAGTCTCTTAGCTTGTAGCATGCTTAACCATTCATCAAGATTCTTTGCAACCTAAAATAACAAGTTTGAATGAAATTATAGATAAAATGTCATTGAGCAATACTAATCTTTGACCCTTGCTGCATAACAATTGGCTTTTTTTCACACAAAATCTGTTAAACTGAATTAACATTGAGCTGAGCTAAGAACTCTGAAGCATTATATATTTCCATAGTTAATGAAAGAATAAAACATTACCAACAATACAGTCAAATGTTGCACCTTTTTTAAGTTTAAAAGCCATAAAAACAGAAGTTTTAAATTTAAAAAAATTATAAGTTGAAAAAATCTAAACCTCTGACTATTTTGAAAACTACTTTAATATATTCTTAAATAAGACAAATGAAAAAAAACCAAAGTGAAACATACACTCTATGAACTCTATTTTCATGCACACGATTAAGCAGCGTAAAATGTAACAATGTTCAGATAATGTTAGGTTACACTGACTGACTAAGTGCTAAATTACAGAAATAAGATAAGAATACAAATGTAATAAAAGCAATATTCTTTTATGTACAGTGTGATGAAGAATAAAGTCTGTCTTTCATCAAAATCATGGATGTGGCAAGTGACGTTACAAGTATTTTAGTACCTTTCCACAGAACTGATTTTCTATATAATTCTTTTGACATAGTTTTCAGGGTTCCCATCCCTTAAGCAGAGTAAAAAGTCAAGAATAATTCCAAAACTTTTTCATGAATTTCAAGAATTATTTTGGGATTGTTCTTAGAATTTTTAATGCAAAGTTGGCAACTGATAGCTATGACATTGTATTCAAAACCACAAATGCTAACCAGCAATAATATAAGTTGGTTATTTGCAAATAATTAAGAGTGTAACTTGTTGCAAAATATTTGTTGTCATAGATTGATGGCATACGCTGTTCAATATTCCAGTGGTATACAATGTTACAGTCTAAGCTAAATGATGCCTAAGCGACCAGTAGGCAAAGATTTTCTGCAGCATACTGCAATATGTGTTGCAATATATTGTAATATTTGTAACTGTATTACAATACAAGATTTCTGGCAATACCTACCCCTAGTAGTTTCCATTATAAAACCCTCTGTCATATACTGTGATAACCAAGACATACTACTCATTCCTGCATGGTTTCCATAATGTAATGTATGAGGATGATGGCTTCCCACTGTCTGTTTCAACAGTCTAGACACACAGAAAATCCATTTCATTCTCTAGCTCTCTGAAGTATAAGATATTTGAATGGATATTTTGTGGAAGCAACTTGTGTCACTTTTCCAGGCAGATACCCTTTTTGATTATGTTGCATACTGTTAACCAAGGCATGTGGATAGCTTTTGTCAATTACCTTTGTGTTTGAGGATTCTCGCCTTTTACAATATACCACACTTTGCTTACCATGGCTGCGATATGACTTGTTGCAGGTCTCTTTCTGGATGGCACTAGTACCCCAAGTTGATCCATATTCTTTGTTTTTCAGTAACATTAAAATACAAAGAATATCCTCATCTTGAAAATTTTAAATGTTCAATCTGAACACATCTTTATGATCCGAGTTTATGAATACTTTGCATCAGAAAGGGCTATTACATACCTTTCTCAAAAACAATTAATTTTCAAAGCCATCACACTACCTACAAAATGCCAAACAATGACGAAATAAAGTTCTAATACATTATATTTTGTCGCAACCTTATGATGACTGTGGTTGTCATGTAACTTGCTAATTTGCATATTCTAAATAGTTTTAATACAATGCACTTAACCCTCTATATTCCTTTTCTTCTTTCATTAGCTTAAAAGGTAAGGGCAACTGATTTTTAACATTGAAGCTCAAAATCCAAATATCTTCCTTTACAAAAATTGGAAAGTTGACCCATTTCTGCTTTCATTTTTTTTAAATACATAATGTTTATATATATATATATATATATACCCATTAACAATGAAAATCTTAATTTCCTGTGTAATTTCAAAAGAAAAATAAGGAATGTTATCACAAGCACATCAAAAACAATAAATCACATATATTAACTTTTATAACTTGTAATTCTTCACAATATAGACACTGTTATACTTCAGATGTGGTAACCATATTATTAAATACAAAATTTTAAATTTCTTCTTTTTATATATTTGATTGGATATATAATCCACTTCTTGATGCAGAAATACAACTTTTAGAAAGTTTGTAAAAAAAAATGCTCACCAAGTTAAAGTTCTCTGCATACAAAGAACTTCCTAATCCAAATACAACATAGCTCATTCCAGACAAAAGCGACTTTTGCATGCGAAAGTCAAAGCAAGCCTCCTTAACCCACTTGCAGAACCATTTGGCATCATCAGGAGGTTCACCCTCCATGTAGGTGGACAAAAGAAATACACAAATTTGTTTTTTCCTGGCCTGGAAACAGAACACAAAATTTGGCCAGTTGTTAAATCTCAAATAATCTATTACCATTATACCACTCTACCAAATACTAAACTTGAAAATGTTCCATTAATTCTTTATGGATAACTTTACATGATTTAACTATATCATAATACATTTTTTAATCCTAGATTAAATCATATTAATACAAATTTAATTACATGTTAAACAACTATTACATCAATAAGGAAGTGCATTTAAAAAATTTTTAAAGTCATGCTCTTTAAATATGCATCTTCCCAGGAACAACTTCAAATGGCTATTTTTCAATAATGACACTTCTGTATTTACTTCTTGATGTTTGAAGAGGCTTTTGATTTTCTTTTGTACAATTTAATAAATATGACAAAACTAAAACTTTGTATTCTACATAAAATATTCTTTAACTGAAAACACTATGTATGCAGGCTAAACTATTCAGCAGCTAATATACTAGGTAAGATAGCAAATATTTGTGTATATATATATATATATATATATATATATAGAGAGAGAGAGAGAGTATATTAATAATAAGTTTAAACCTCACTATCTTACAAGAATATAGTCATGAGATCCTATAGGTTATTAATATTATATACCCT